CACACACACGCACACACACGCACACACATGCACACACATGCACACACATGCACACACACGCGATGCAACAGAAAGTTCACAAAGAACAAGGAAGTAAAACCTGCTATGCAAAGTAATTTTGTATGAATCAGGGACACCTGCATCTATTAGACGACCACATGTGTGAAGTCTGTCGTTTCAGAATTGCAACAGATTATTGAAGTCTTCTCACTTCTCCTTTATCTCTGCCAGATGGCTTTTTTTTTTTTAAACTAATACAGATTGTTACTGATAAATAACATGTAACAAAGCCAAGTTTCTGTTCTAAGTCTTGTTTGTTACCAGCCTGGTTACAACTCCAGTCAAGCAAAGAGGTGACACGTCTTTCTACTTTTGTGCTTCGCAGAAAATGGAGGAGGCCGCGGCCAAAGCAGCGTTAGAGGAGAGCAGGAGGAATAAGACTCAGTTAGACCTACAGGACCGCTACAGGATGGACCTGGAGAGAGAGAAAATGGTAACCACTGTGCCTCCCACAACTCTGCAGGGCGATAAACTGCACATTACAAGGTCCTGTCAAAGGGTCAGAATGAAAATGAACTGAAGTTTTTATCTTGTGATGAAGTCGTCATCATCATCCGTCTGTGGTTCTGTCCTTCCAGGAAACAAGCTAAAAATAGTTTTAATCATAGATCCCATGATGTCGAGTCATCTTTTACACAAGTGTCAGATGCACTGACTGTTAATCATCATCATAATTTATGACTATGGATAAATGCCATGTAAGGGAATGTAGATTCAGTGCGGAATGTGAAGATTTTCAGATAATTTCCAGATGTTGGCTCAGTTCAAGGCACTGCGAGTACAGTTGTCTGTAGGAGATGAGTGATAAGTGATGTTGTGTGTGTGTGTGTGTGTGTNGTGTGTGTGTGTGTGTGTGTGTTGCTCAGGTGCATCAGCAGATGGAGGAGCAGGTGGCACAGAAGTCCAGTGAGCTGGAGCAGTACCTGCAGCGCGTCCGGGAGCTGGAGGACATGTACCACCGCCTGGAGGAGGCCTTAGAGGACGAGAGGCAGGCCAAGCAGGACGAAGAGGCCATGCGAAAACTGCAGGCCAGGTCTCACGCACACACACACGCACACACACACACACACACACACACACACACACAGGAAGTATAATTTTTATATGTTCTCCTTTTGTTCGTGTCCAACGTGAAGTAACCCTGCTGTATTCCCTTGCAGGCTGCTGGAGGAGGAGGCAACCAAGAGGGCAGAGCTGGAGCTGATCCACCTGCAGCAGCAGAGGGCGCTGTCTCAGACTGAGGCTGAGAAGCAGGAGCTGGTGGCCCAGCAGCAGGCCAAGGAGAGAGAGCTGCAGACAGCCATGCTGCAGCTGGAGAGCCTGCAGAGGGAGCGGCAGGGAGCACTGGAGCAGTATGAGGTCAGGACTCACCTGGAAGTTCATAAAGATCCATTGATTTTAGTTTTATTGTCCTTTCAGATCAAAAATGGTTTTATTCTACTTTTTTACCTGACTCTAGGCTGTGGTCAAGTATCTGGTGACACAACTAACTCAACTTTTCTACCCATATTTATTTATTGAAAATATTCATCACAACAAATATATGAGACTCCATCACGTTAGTGCTACAATGTGTAGTGTATGATATATATATGTGAATATTCCAGCACATATATAACTATTAATAATAAAAACAATGAATTTGAAGGAGCTGTGTAAGGTAGATGACTAAACACTGGTTCAGCTCACATGAATCCAACCCTCTTTCTCATATACAGGAGGTATCGAGGAAGCTTGAGGGAGCGGCTAACAAGACAAAGACCTGGAAAGACAAGGTGGCCAAACATGAGGGGCTGGTGCGTCTCATCCAGCCAGGTAGGGTGGGGCCTGTGGTTTATAGTAAATTCATAAATGTACAGTTTTGCAGTTACAGGCGGTATTAAATAGTCCTAAGTTTAACTTTAAATAAGTATAATAATAAGTTTAATAATCATCTATTATTTGACAATAATTACTGGTGGTAACGATAACTACACTGAAGTACTGAAAGGGTAACATGCAATATTAAAAGTCTTGAATTGAACCTGGGGAATACTGCAGAAACCCTGTATAAACACAAGAGTGCAGCAAAGTACTTTGCTGCTGTGCTCACTTGGCTCCAACTCAGTCCACTCATAATTCTCTGGTTCACTTCAGACTTATTACCAGTCTCAATGCATCCAAACACCAGTTAGGTTAGTGTTCAAATCCAAAGTGACTCACGAATAAAAGAAAAACAGCAAAGAGACATTTTTTTTATCAGTATTTTTTTCCCCACATTTGTTAAAAGATACTGATCGGCTCTCCTGGTGTTTCAGGTGATAAAGCACCTCAGAGAATCACCAACTGGGGTCCAGCATCGTTCACTGATGCAGAGCTGGAGATGAGGAAGAAGTCGTGGCAGGAGAGAAAGAACCAGGGGCCTCAGGCTCAGTGAACACTCACCATGATCAGTGACTGAAACTAACGGTGGAGCCCAAACCATCACATCTCAGAGCTTTTATAATGTGAACCTACTGAGCCACATGATAACTGCAAAAATAATATTTCAGTCATTCTTTCTGGGTTATTTTAAATGTACAGTTTGGATTAACTACATTCCATCATTTGGCCTTTCAAAAATTATTTTCAACCTAAAAAAAGCATGACCATAGACAAAATAATCTTTAATCACTTTCTTCCTTTTTTCTAGTGATGAAGGGTCATGTGATGACATCTCAACCATCTATCACAATTAAGCTAAATTCATCCACAGATAGAAAAGTGATTAAGATTATTTTGCTTTAACACTTTTATTTTTGCTTGGTTTATATTTTTCTTTGGTCATTTTAGTTAGTTCATGTTTAATTTAACTTTTTTGCCATGTTTTCATATTGTGTGCATGCTCACAGCAAAGAGTTTGTTTCTGTCCATCAAAAAATAAAACAGGGTGGAAGCTCTCCTCCAGTACACAGCGGTTTATCCCAAACATTTATCATGACTTCATCAGGTTGGTGTCTGAGGCTGTTTCCGTTACCAATATTCCACCAGAGATACTATGAATACAGAACATTGCTATAATCAATTCCTTCATTCTGTGAGCACAAATACAGAGTCAACATTTCCTTTCTCAACATTCCAACAAATACAAATTGATGGTTTAAAAGGTTGTACATGAATTTCTTAATACAAGCCATTGGATTCTGTATTATTTCAAACTAACTGTGCAGACTACTTCAAAACACAATGTTTTCAAAGTGTCTCTGCACTTGAACACATCCACCCAAGGGCTACAATTCCAATAATTTTACTGTAAAGAAATAAATGTAGTAGATTCTGCAGAACCCTATTGGAGTTAAGTGGAGCAGCTCCTCCACATCTCAAATCTCCTCCTCTCTTTGACAAACGTACTGTCCTTCCATTCCTGAGGCTGTGTTCTCAGACACCGCTCTGATGAAGGGAAGAACATCTGGCTGATAACGTGGGATGTGCTGGATAAGAGCTGAGTGATCATGTGTTTTAAAATAGATGCTTTTGTGCTTTGATATCGACTTGTTGTAAACCAGTGAAACTATGGAGCATCATTTTACTAAGATCCAGTAAAATATCTAGTAGAGACGTGTTCCACTGTAGCTGGTTTTGTTTTTTGGTAAAGATGAGTGAGCAGCGTTTGATAAAGCCTTAACTAAGATGATAAAAATAAAAATAAAACACCATTTATTTTTTACAACAATAACTGACTCAGAAGGTCCCGTCATTTCACAGAGTGTGTGTGCAAGTAAAGACAACCTTCAACTTTTTGTGACATGATCACCTCCATGTCCGGTCAGTGAGCTGGAGCTTTCAGCAACGAGACCCCGACACCCTGCAAACACTGTCTTTATTATCCACGGGATATATATTTTTAGGAGCCCCGTTGTGTCTCTGCCTCTGTGTCATGATGCTAGTTTCAGCTTTCTAACTGAGGGTGCTGAGTGTACTCGTGAGTGTGAGGTATTCATAAAAACAGCCATGTTGTCCAGATGTTGCAGGGTCCTTATGGAGGAATATTATTCTCACCATCATGTCAGTAGCACTCAACCCCAAAACTATTTGTTTCTGAGGACGCACATCTTAAAAAAATAGGTCACGGGTACATAGTTTATTTCTCAACTAGAACGGTTCTCAGTAGAGCACAAGGCCTCCTGATCTGGATATGCACCAACACTTCATGGGTTCTTCCCTGACCCATATCACATCTTTCCACCAATTTTTCTCTGTAATCTTTTCAGATGTTTTTGTGTTATCTTGCTTCTAAATGGTCTAAACAACAAGCAACTGGACAGGGGTGAAAACATAACCTCCATGCTGGAGGTCAAAAGGAACAATCATTTCTAAAGCAGCTGGACTTTGTTTCTGGAAGCTTTGTTGGAGATTATAGTGATTGAGTCTGTGGCACAAGCTGTGTCTCAGTTCAGGGGCTGCATCCCTTGGAGGACCCAGTCTTTGGCTGAACCGAAATGAGATGGTCTAGTCTTCTTCACCAGCTTACAGACATCACCTAGTAACAGAGCTACGCATGAAAAAAAGTTCTTTGGTTGTTTAAAACATTGAAAAGAAGATTTTTACTTACAATTCAAAAATACATTTTTGCCTTGCTTTTTGCTGCATCAACTCTTTAGCAAACAGTTTGTCACAGAAGCACAATGAATCATGGGATATTTTGTGCCAGTAGGGATCCACCCACTGGAGTTGGGAGAAATGCAGTCTCAGAAGGACGCAGCCCCCGAATTGAGACACAGCTACAGTGAGGTCTGAGGCCTCAGACACACAGACAAAAAAAAAACGTGTGAGTTGAATCAATTAATCACCAATTCAACTTTTCACTGGTTTTGTTGAGAGCCAGAAAACAAACAAAAGACTATCGGCCTTGTACTTTAAGTAGTTGATCATCTGTTTCATGTTTTGCAGAAAGCTTTGTTGTAACCTGTAGTGATTCACAAATTCAATCTGGAGGATGAGTATCAGCAGATCAGGTTTCAGCCACAATGTGTCCGATCCGCATTAAAAACAGTCTCTTTGTTACATTCATTCATACACTGTGATTCAGCTTTTAGAGCCACAGCCCTCACTGACCTCATGTTACCTCAGAATCCTTCAACGAGCTCCTCACACTGGCGAGCAGATCTTTAATCTGGAATATGAGAGCACCAGTATCACATCAGTGTTTGGAATCAGCAGCTAACAGAGAGGAAAGGTTGGAGCTGCGTGTCCATAGTTACCTATTTGTTTGAAAGGTCTGTGTGTGTTGTACAATATGACGTCATTGTTTTAGTTATCACGAAACAAGATTCATCTCACTTGATGCACGTGACACACAGCCTCCAGGCGTCAGTTTTGCTGCACAAACAAACCAGTTTGTGCAACAAAGGACGACTGTTCTCGTGCACACGTTTTGTCATCCCCTCCCTCACGTCTCAGTGAGAAGATAAAGACAAGGTTACAGGAACAACGGGCTGCAACTATCGGCTGTGGGTACTTGTTCGTCTCGTGTCTACCATCCAGCCCGCACAACGAGAGTCTTCAGTTTCTGATGACAGGACTTCTCAAACCACCTTTATTTGTCCCTGGAATCAAAGAGACGGTTCAAGTTGAGTTCAGGGTTGTCAGAGCAGGAGATGAGATAAGAACCTGCATTCATACCCCGAGTTAACAGGCCGCACCATGCAGATCTCTTTATACTTGCGGGTTTCTGATAAGATCACATGTTGAGACTTATTGTCCATATCTTTAATCCAATACTATAACTCGGAATGTGCTTCATCACCAGAACAGATCAAGTAATCTACATAGATTCTCCTTTTATAGATGTCTCTGTTTGTATGAGCAACAATTCTTTAATTGCTGCCCCAAGACAACATTAAATGCATTAAATAGAATAAAGAATATGAAAAACGTTTCAAACAAACTAACTCAGCGCAGTGTTTGTCTTGAATAGTCACTCTGGAGTGTACGATAAATCGTTCTGCTGTACACGTTTCCCCTATAAGCAGTATTTATATCCAGCAATTGGAGAAAAAAATGCAGTTAAACACTTCTCAGAATTGGGAGTTTCTAATCTCCGTAGCTAAATTGCACAAGCCCTCGACATTCCGTAAAAAGGATATCTCTAGCTGTCTCACCCTCACGCCATGTGTCCGAAAAATACACTAATGCCCGTGACAGATTCATCTAATTCCTGTCCAAAATATCCTCGTGGAAGCTGAACTGAAGCTGGAACATTTATGGGGGGGATTGTCTCCTGGTGAAAAAATGTCAGGCAGATGACTGTTTTCTGGGCTCATAGCCCCGAACGTTCACATGTTGGGATGGACTCTGGGTTTAGCTGCAGAGATACTGGGGACTGAGTCACTGAGTCAAGGAGAAAGGCATAAATGCAAACTTTTGAACCCCCCCTCCTTCACTGCCACCCCCTCTAGCAATAAATCAAATGTGTAATTGTACTTTTCTGTTCATGGATGAGCGGTGTCCAGATAAGATCATCTGGAGCTCATGCATTTGAAAATCTCCCAAATAGACCCCCATGTGCTGCAGGCAGCTGACATCATCCCAGTTTCTAGGGTGGGACCCGATGATGTGTGTCGAGTGAGTGAGATCAGCGCTTGGAGTTGTTGCAATGAATTTTGGAGCAGGTGCCCGCTGACACTGAAGGGCCCCCAGCGACGGGGGAACCAACAGAATGCAGAGGCACCCAGGAAATGGAAATTGCAGGGCTACATGGATAATAGGATTTGAAGGTCCAACGAAATAAATCAGCATCATCTGTCAGTGGAGTATTTTTTAGAGGTGGAGGGGGCTGTGGAAAGGCATTGACTGCAGCTGTGACTGTACATGAAGAGCACAGGGTCCAAGAGCAACAGATACGTGCAATCTTGAATTTATAGGCTGCGTCTGATTTGTCTGTTTTATGTGAGAGCAGCACACTTCCAGCCAACCAAGACTAATCACACCGAACTCAGGAGAAACGTTTGGCCAAGTTACACAAGATCACAGCCGCACAGCGTTTCTTCAAAGCACGGCTGCTCTGAGGTGTAACAGACACTTTCATCACCCATTTGTGTCCGACTTCAAGAAGACAAATCACTTTCAGAGGCGCCAATCTCGCCCAAATCATGGTTGTGCAACAGCTCCGATTTTCATCCCCTAAAACTTGTAGATTAATCATTTGCTTGAATGTGTTGCGATGTGATCCAGTCAGAGCAGCGTAGCTATATGAAATCAATAACTGGAGAGAACGGCCAAACCAACATTCCTATCTCTGGATGAAATGATTCCTGTCAAGTCATTCCACACATTCCTGCAGAATAACGTCCCCTGCATCCTCCTCTGTTTGTGCTTGGGGGTCCTAATCTCTGTGCAAGAGCGATAGCAGGAGGCTAAATATGGCGAGAACAGCCAGAGGCTCTGCCAAGACGCTGAACTGCTGCAGCTCTGCACCTGCTGCCAGTGCAAGCAGGGAGAGAACACTGAAGGACAAACAACCACGGCCTCCCTCCCAGAGAAGGCCCCTCTGCTCGTCCCCTGACCGTCAAGTTTCCTCTCAGAGACAAACCTCCCTTCGGCCATGAGAGCCCCTGCTCAGCACCGCCAACCAGGCGCCACAGAGCCTGAGCTGGGGCTGATATTCATTGCTGGAAAGTGAGACACCCATCATCATCTTCTCCAAGCCCGTTTGTTGGCTCAGAGCTGCTGTGGTGTTTCATTACCTTTCATTCAGAGAAAATCTTTATTAAAGATGAAGCGTTCACAACAGGCCAGAAAAACATGGCTGTTAGAAATGTTGTGTCCTGCGTTCCAACATAACAAGAGTCTCCAACCTTGTTACCCCGAGCCCTGACCTCAGGAGTGACAGATTTAACTCTGACCTCTGAAAATACTTTGCATTCAATCACATTTGCACAAATGGCAAACAATTATTTTCCAGCCACTTCATTTCACAAGAAGCAACAAATCA